AAGGGTTTCAGTCTGATTCCAAGATCTTGATTGAAGGTAGAAAACCCTCACCACTGTGGGAACACGCACAATCCTCTCCCACTGTAATCCACTTCTTACCAAAACTTTTGCAGCCTTCTTTGGACTGATATGAATCCAGCATCTTGGAGAACTGGTATCTCTGCTAGCTAATTAGGGAACAAAGAGAATGAAGAATCTGGATTATGTGGAAAGGAGAAGTAAAATTGAATATCATTAGTAGCTTGGGGACTTGCCTAGCTCAAAACATCTCACAGTCTCCCTGCACAGTTCACATGCACTTGATAGGGTTCGATGAACATTAAACCATACTGAAAACCAACGAAGCTCTTGAGATGGGGTAGATTTACATTCTAGTGTGACATGAACTAAGTATTTGTATAGGCAAGCCCTAAACTAGCCATTAGGAAATGCCCATGTGGGTAATGCAGCCTACAGCTTGCCTCTCCAGGGAAGTTAAGCAGTTGTCTCCTCCAGAAACCCTCTTCTGGAGTCAGGTGCCTACTCAAAAAACAGTAGGAAGTGGGTGACAGTATCACCACTCCTTTCTAATTTCTAGTCTTATGGTTGGAACACTCACTTGAAATGAGGGAGTCCCAATGTTCTAATTTAAGTATTATATGCAATTGAATGTAAGAAAGGTTAAGAAAGACTTGCTTCTGTATACCACACAGCCCAGTGATTAGGCCACTCTCCTAAGAGGAAGGAGATATTAGTTCAAATCCTTTCTCTGTATTAGATGGAGGGGACAATTGAACCTAGGTATTCCATGTCCTGGTGAGTGTTCTACCCTGTGCCTTAAATTTGTAAGGTGGTATGGGGAACAATCACTGTCTCCTCTTCTGGCCATTTTGTGTGGGTTTGAGCATGCTCTGAGCACACATACTAGACCAGGTCCTGTAGGCAAGATTGGAGAAGGAATGCCTGATTTGATAATCCTCCTAGTACTTAGGTATGAAGCAGACCAGCCTACACTGAGGAGCTGTGTACATAGCTTCTGGTAGTGGTTTTGAGGTTCTCAGCAGCACCTAAATATTGCCTTAAGTTCTTTTGTGGATCTCTCTCTAGATCACTATACTGTTCTTGTCTGGCCTTTAAATATACAAATCTATTGTTATTTCTGTTTCTGAGTACTTAGGAGGCACACTGATACCAAGGTAGCATGGTAGTAACAGAAATACCAATATATGGATTATAGAAATGTTGGACTGAAAGGGACCTCAGGAAACAATGAAGTGCATTCCTTTACACTGTGACAAGACCAAGAAAACCTAGACCATCTCTGATAGGTTTTTAAGAACAGGTTGAATAAACACCTACAATGATGGGGATTCCCCAGTCTCCCATGACAGCCTATTCCAGAGCTTAACCACTTTGATGCTTAGATATTAGGAAAAACATTCTATAGGCTGCCTCTGACTTGCGACGTGATGGGCTCCTTGGATAGTGTCGCAAGTTGGGGGCGTTGTAACTTGAGCCTGCATTTACGACAGGCATTGTACACCGTCGTAAATGTGGAGCCAAGGACGTAAGTGAGGGGATTTCAGCCCCTTCTGCACTTACGGAAAACGTCGTAAGTGCGGGGGGTAGTAAATCATGCCATTGTAAAGTGAGGGACTCCTCTAATTTAAATAGTCCTTTCTTCAGATTAAGTCCATTATTTTTTGTGATACCTTTGGTGGACATAGAGTACAATTTCTCACTAGCCTCTTTATTACCGCCCTTAGCATATCTGAAGACTGCTATCAGGTCCTCCTCTCAGTCTTTTTAAAGACTAAACCTGCTATTTTTTAACCTTCACTCACAGATCAGGTTTTCTAAATCTCCTTATCATTTTTGTTCTCTAATTTATCCAAATGACCTCAATTTTAGATATGTTGCTTCCTGTGACCCCAGACAGCCTTTGAAAAATGGCATCCTCCACATAGCATGACCTCACACATGTAATTTTGTAAAATAGCATTCTCTGCACATTTGGGATTGCTGCAACCCTAGCTGATAGACTACACTTGGGCTTGTGACACACAATTTAAGAACAACTATACTAGGTGCTTACAAATTGGTTGTTTGTTCCAGTCTCTTTCCAAATTCCAAAAAGTTAGGCTGATTGGTCTGTAATTCCCCTGGATGCTCTTGTTCCACCTTTTAAGATAGGTACTATATTTACCTTTACCCATCATCCATGCGTTCTTGAATATAAAAATTAACGGTTCCCAAGTTTGCTTCAATAAGTTCCCTAAGTACTCTAGAATGCATTTCATCAGCCCCTGCTGATTTGAATACATTAATCTTATCTAAATCCTTTAATTTATTCTTCCTCTGTTTTGTCTTATGCTTCTTCCTACTTCTTGTTTATGATAACTGTATTGAATAACACCATTAAGCTTTTTAGAGATGTTTGAAGCAAAATAAGTATTTAATATCTCAGCCTTGGTGTTGTCATCAGTTATAGCTCTCTTTCCATGCTTAATAAAGGACCTATGCTTTCCTTCATCTTTTTCTTGATCCTAATTTATTTGAAGAACCTCTGATTGCCTTTTATGCCCTATTCTATGTTTAACTAATGTTGTGCCTTAGTCTTTCTGATTCTTTTCCTACATGCTTAGGCTATTCTTTTGTATTCCTCCATAGCAAATAATCACCGTTTCTGCTTTTTGTAGGGTTCCTTTTTAATTGGCAGGTAAATAAAAACACTCCTAATGGAGCCATATTGGCCTCTTACTAGTCTTCTAGTATTTCCTTCACTTCGTGATAGTTTGCAGTTTTGCCTTTAATACTGTCCACTTGGAAACTGCCACGTCTCCTGAACATTTTTACCTTAGATTTTGGTCCTACCGGTTCTCTGAGTTTATTAAAGTCTGCTTTTTTGAAGCCCACTCTGCTTATTTTGCTGTTGTCTCCCTCTATCAACTTTCACCTAAATTGCCTTCCACTTTCAGATTTGCTACCAGTTCCTCGCTGTTAGTCCTAATAAAGTCTAAAATAGCTGTCTCCCTTGTTACTTCCTCCACCTTCTGAAACAAAAAATTATCTCAAATACATTCCAAGAACTTTCTGGAAACTTGGTGTTTTGCAGTATTATTTTTACAATATGTGTCTTGGTAGTTAACGTCCCCCATTATTATCTCGTCTTGTGTGTTGGATATTTCTGGTTTTTTGTTTTAGAAATGCCTCATCCACCTTTTCTTCCTAATTTGCTGGTCTATAGTAGACCCCCCAACCGTGACATCACCTTCTACTTTTTAACCTTTAATCTTTAACCAGAACAAACTATATCCTCTAAATCACTATTCTAGTCATGCAACATATCTCATAAATTATAGTTAAAGCCAAGTCTGCACAGGCATATTACAGTTAGGGATGTAAGCAACTAGTTGACTCCACAATAAGCATAAATAGTGACTCAATTAGTTGCTCCTCCCCTCCGCTGCCTCTATCAGAGAGAGGCATCAAGGGGGAAGCAGGAGCTGGTGCTGGGGGAGCTGGCTTAAAAGCCCGCCTCCCATGGCCCCCAGCACAGGGGAGGTAAAGGTGCAGCAGGGAAATGGCATGAGCAGGGACTCATGCCTTCCAGACTGCTGCGCTTCCTCCTTTGAAATGTAGGAGAGCTGCCTGTGCACAGCTATGCATTCATTTCCAGGAGGCTGATATCCCTGTCTGGGCTGTTATCCTCAATGGGAGAATGGATGAGAACACAATCTGTGTCCCGACATCTTTACCCTTGTTTCCAAAGCTCTGTAGTCATTGTTGATCTACTTAGGGCCATACCTAGCAATATGATTAGTGCCCATATGGATGAGTAACATGGATAGTGGTCAGAGAGACAAATGAGCCTTTGCAACCTTTCCATAATGTCTTGGTTACAGGCAGGCAGCACATACTGAGAACTAATTTGGAAAAGTTTTCTAGTGGGAGTGTGTTTGTTCTTTCTAATGTCTTAAACAAAAACCTTTTTGGGAGCTGAACTTGTAATTCTAATGTCCTGTTAACAAAAAGAATCTGAAAGGAGGCTGTGAAGAAAGGGTGAAAAGATGTGGCATAAAGAGAAGAAAGAAACTTTACTAGGAACTTGAGGGTGTAGTTGGCTGCCCCAGGAGTGGGGAGTGGAGGGTAAATAGGCAGGTCACAAGTGGAAAGAAACAAAGCATGTAGTTAGGCAGGAGGACTTAGTAGATGAATGTATAATGGAGAGTGTAGTAAAAAATAAGTGAGATAAGCAGGACAGCATTATGTAGAGTCTTGAAAAAAAGAATGAGAAAACCTTGAGATGAAATGAGATTGAATGCAACTGTAGGGACTGAAATGATTTGGTCGTAATATGACTGAATCAGCAGAAAGAAAGATATCTTTAGTAACAGCCTATTGAATAGATGGGAGAGTGGAAAGGAAGCAAATTGGATAGGAGGAGAGTGCTGATGATGAGGCTACAATGTTAGCAGTAGGGGTACAAAAGTGAATTTTGGAAATCTTGTAGAAACAGATGCACAATTTGGCAAGAGCCTAGATATAAGAAAAGGAAGGGGTTAAAGATGATCGTGAACATGAAAGCTTGCAAGACCAAGAGGGTAGCATTTGTCAGTGGAAATGAAGTAGAAAGTGAGCAGAGATGGTTCAGGAGAAAGATAAATAGTTCCATTTTAGACATGATTGATTTGAAAAAATTGAGGGACATCCATTATGAGACCTCAGCAGAAATGCAATAAAATAACTCTGGATAAAAAGAGCGTTGAGTGTTGTCTTTGAAATCGATATGTAGTAATAAACCCTAGCTTAGTAGTAAAGACTTGAAAAATCAAGCTACTAATCTTTGTCTTTTTTTAGGCTTATGTTAATATTATATTTTAAAAAAGAGCTTACTTAAGTTTAAGGAAAATCATCTGAGAATACCAAATGATAGTTTACATTTTGACGAGAACATATTGTTGACTCTTGTATGGTGATTGCATATATTCTTTATTAATTTGTTCCTATTTTGTCTCCAGGAGATGCCCTTGTTGCGGTAAATGATGTTGATGTGAACACTGAGAATATAGAAAGGGTTTTGTCTTGCATCCCAGGCCCTATGCAGGTATTGTACTTTTGCTAGACATTATACTGTGTTATTTTATATATTTACCACTGCTAACCTATATTAATATTATTCTCCCTGCTGGTGACAGGGCCATAACTCATCATTGGAACACATTAACTTTTGACCATTAATATCACAGCAATAAATATTACCTGTATGCAAAGAACCAAATTATGGTTGTTGTGAAAACTGCCACTTTGAACACTATTAACTATGTCAATAGAACATAAGCTATGAAATGCTGTGTTGGTATCTTGATCGTATTGGATAGTTGAGATGGGGAAGGCTGAGTGGTCTATAGATGGTAGATATGAGACAGGATGTCAGTGTCTTGCTTATAATACTGGACAAAGAAACTGGAGAACAATCTGTTGGTCAGAAGTGGTTGGCAAATAATGGGGAGTTTGTTTATTTGTAATACACATTGAGTGCATATGTGATGAAAAGTGATAGTAAAGGGATTTTTGGATTATAGGGTGAGTCTTGGCAAGATGCTCTTTATTGTGGTAATGAGAATCATTTTAAGTTCTCTATCAAGATAATTTTGTCAATATAAATGATGGCCTCAAAATATCAGATCGGGGGGGAAAAGAACTTGCCCATTAACCATGAGAGCATTTAGATGGAACACTGTGGAGATCTCTGCAAAATCTAATTGAGATCTTGGACTCTTGGCACAAATACAACTACATTTTATTTAAAATATATTGTCCCTGATTAAAATGGAATATGTTATCCTCCCCCTGCTCCCCCCCCACCTGCTCTTCTAACATCCTGGAATCAAGTTAACAAGTTTATAGATTCTGGTACTAGGAAAACAGCAAATATACTTTATGACCTCTGCTATACTGCCTCTGTGTTGTCTGCAATGGAGATAGCTAGACACAGCAGTTCAGTTATATTTTTTCCCAGTCTGGATCTATTTTCCTTTCCTAAGTGGATGTATTCTGCTTCCTTTGAAAAAAAGAGTTTGTAACTAACGAACTGAAAGCATCTTCCTTTACTCAGTGAAGTTAAAGTTTGAGTAAAATAAAAATTACTGTGTCTGTAAATGGTTAGACAGTATTGAGAGAGTGAGAGTTCTGGAAAACTTCTCAAATTTAGCTGATATTCTTTTCCTGTTATTTATTATATATCTGTTAAATTTCTGTTGTTTGCTTACATACTGCAGTGTTACATATGAGGTATATTCTGATTTATTTTTATTCCCTTATGGTGATCTGTTTTTCTGCTGGAAAATCTCTATGCAAACATTTGATTCCATGTGCTCTGTATCTCTGTTTTTAAATCAGTGGTTAAATGAGTGGCCTCATACGGACTTGGGGCCAGTTTCTGGGGTGTGACTGACCAGCACATTGCAAAAAGGCGTCTGAAAGTTCACATATCGATTACTGTGATTCCAGTGACACGTCCCTTGTATTGAATTAGAGCATTCCAGGGATTATTTCAATTTTTTTTATCTGCAAATGCCTCCTGAGCAACTGAAACTACAGCTAAGGACTGTTATGATTTAGGGACATGCCCCCTATATAGTGATGTAAAGGCAACAGGGAGAAAAGATGGCACAAGAGCCTTTACATCAGCTGAATGTCATCCGGGATCAGCTTTGTACAGGGCAATCTTCCCTGAGCTGCTTATGTCAGTTTTAGACCCAGCTATATTAGTGGTATTGTACAAAGCACAGAGAATCTGGCCTTACGTTTGAGGCTTAGGGAGTGTCTGCACTGCAAAACAAACTGTGGTGAGTGAATCTCAGAACCTATGCCTACTGACTTGGGCACATGAGACTCACACAGCTAGTTTTAATGGTACAGTATTTCTGGCTCAGGCTCTGAAACCCATGAGGATTGCCAGGTGTCTGATTTTCAGCTGGATACCCAGTGAAAAAGCCTGGCTGACCGAGCTGATAAGTCTGATCAGCAGCATAGTGGGGCTAAGGCAGGCTCCCACATAGCTCTGGGAAGCAGCTGGCATGTCCAGCTCCTAGGTGCAGGGGTGGCCATGAAGGCTCTGTGCGCTGTCCCAACCCTGAGCATTAGTTCCACAGCTTCCATTAGGTGGGAATGCTGACCACTTTTGAGAGTCGCCTGAGATAAGTGCTGCCTGAAGCTTGTACCTTTACCCATTCCTACACCCCAACACTCTGTCCCAGGTCAGAACACTGTCCTGCACCCCAATCCCTTCATTCTTGGCCCAACTCCAGAGCCTGCACCCCCTCCAGCTGGAGCAATCACCCCCTCCTATACCCCAAACCTATGCCCCAGCCTGTGGAAAAGCAAGAGTGGGTGGGGGAAAGTGAGCAATGGAAGGGGGGAAAGGAAGTGGAATGAGCAGAAGCCAGGGCCTCAGAGATACGGTTGCCAGGTGTTCAGTATTCAACTGGGCAGTCTGGTTTTTGGGCCCTCTGTCCAATAAAAAAATTCAGAAAATAGCGGACATGTACAATGGGTATTTTCTAGCTTTCTGGCTAGGTGCCCGATGGAAGCCTGGCGGGGTGGGGCGAGTGGCTGGGAGGCGGGGCGTGATTGGCGCTGGGAGCCTCTGGTTGCGTTTGACGTAGGAGTGACTCCTTGGGGAGGAGGAGAAGCCCTGTCCGTGCTCCTGAGAGCTGTTTAAGCGCGTTGTGGAGTGGTAGTTGGACTCCTCGTGCTGCACCGGGACTGTGCGCGGGACAGGCAGCGCCCTTGGATCTGCATGTGCCCAGGTCGGTCCCGCTCTCCGCCGGCCGATTCTCCCCCCCTCCCTTCTCCCCCAGCCAGGCCCCCGCCCCCCGACTCCCTCCCGGCCAGCCCTGCTTCCTGCTGGCCGGTTCTCCTCCCCCGATCTCCCTCGGCCAGCCCCGCTGCTCCTGACTAGCCCTGCTTCCTGCTGGCCGGTTCTCCTCCCCCGATCTCCCCCGGCCAGTCCCGCTGCTTCCGACTTGCCCTGCTTCCCGCCGGCAGCCCCCCCTCCCGATCTCCCCTGGCCAGTCCTGCTGCTGCCTGACCCTCCCTCCCGCCAGCCCCGCTTCACATTCTCCCCCCTCCTCTTCCCTCCCCTCCCCTCCCGGCTGGTCCCTTCTCCCCCCTCCCACCCCCCAAGTGTGTCTGGGATTTTTTCTGAAGCTACCTGGTAACCCTACTCAGAGAAGGGGCAGGGTGGGATGGGGCAAGGTGGAAGGAGCTGGGCAATGGTGTTTGGTTAATATGGTTAGAAAGTTGGCATCCCTAAAGCCCACCCACCTCCCTAGGCTTCAGACCCCAAACAACAGCCTGAGAGGAATATCTACAAGGCTGTTTTTAGCAGTCTAGCATGAGCCTAAGTCTCTAGACCCAGACTCTGACTCTACTGTGGGGCTTTTGTATGTTTGGATGTTTTCTGCAACGTAGACATACTCCGGGAGGCTTTTATTCACACTAATACATTTTTGCTGTGATCTCAAAACTTTTAGATTAGGCACACATTTTAAAAATAGAGGGGATTGAACGGGGTTATTTTGCACTGATCAACTTTTAAAAAGGAAACAGTTTACAGAAAATGTGGTGCACTTGAATCTCCATACTCTCGGTAACCCAAATACTAAGTCTTGCCCAACAAACTATAGCTAGTTAGGATTAGGGATGTTACATTTAATTGAACTAACTAATTGGTCAATAAGCGGGGGAGCCTCAGTGGGATTAGCTCCTAGCCCAAGAGGTAACCCCGCTGTGGCTCTGTCCTTTAAACGTATTAAGCCTGTTGGCTCTTAATAAATGTAAAAGGCTAAATGCAACAGGAGGGACCCAGCGCATGCTGGGACAGCTGATTCCCAGCTCGTGCAGGGTGCCCCCCCTCTCCTGCACACCAACCTTTTAAATGCATTTGAAAGCCTAAAGTGCAGTGGGGAGGACCTGGCGCGAGCCAGGAATCAGCTGTCCCGGCTCATGTTGGGTCCCTCCTGCTGCACTTTAGTCTTTGAAATGTATTAAGAGCCTGTCGGCTCTTTGTACATTTAAAAAGCAGAGGTGCATTTGGGACTAGGCATGAGTTGGGAGTCAGTTGATTCCCGGCTCATGCCTGTTCCCCATTACTCCCCTGCTCCCAAACTCTCTGCCCTACCCCTCCTGCACTAATATCGCCTCCCAGATTCTGAACCCCAATCCCCTGCTCCAGGTTACAACCCAAACCCTCTCCCCCCGCATCCATATCCCTTCCCAGATCCTGCACCCCAATACCTTGCCCCAGGTCACAACCCAAACCTCTGCACCTCCTCCTGTACTCCAGTCCCTTGCCCAGGTCACAGCCCCCCTTGCCCAAAGTTGCAACCCAAACCCCCACACCCTAGTTGCTGACCCAGGTCACAACTGCCTCCTTCATCCAAACTCCCTCCCAGACCCCACACACTTTCCTGCATCCCAGTCCCTTACTTCAAACTCCCTTCTTCACCCAGCCTTCATCCCAGACCCCTGCACTTCCTCCATTAATACGGAAGAGTGCATTCAGTCCTTCATCCCTTTCTAAATTCTTGGAGTGGCCCCCCCATCAAAAATTAATGCAATTATTTCCCACCCCTCTCCTAGCTCTTTCCATTTAGGAGGAGTTCTTGAGCAGACACACAGACAGAAAAACTCTCTCAAATATCTATTGCATTAAACCAATTATTTTATCTTAGAAATTGTTAGTTTTCATGCCACTCATGTCCTAGATAATTAAATGTTTCAAGTTACTTTGTAAAATTCACCTCCCTGGGAACATTGTACAGATTTACAGTGTGAGATGAGAGATGGAAATTAAAGCTATAAACTTTTTTTCTCATCTGAGAGTACTGTGACTCCTCGCTTAAATTATAGTTATGTTCCAGATACATTCATTTTTAGGGGAAGAAATTGGAGTCACTGAAGGGGGGGGGGGGGGGCGCGGATGATTAGGTTCTAGGGATTTTTTTTTCACCTGACAAAAGACATGATATACAGACATAGTATAAGTTTTATATAATTTTAAATAGTTTATTTCTGTATTCACCAATGATGATTGTGAAG